GTGGACGTGGTCCTGGGGTCCCCGTGCGAGCAGGCCTTATAAGCAAGGCCACCCCAGGGGGGAAAGGTGTCTGCGTCCACAAAGAACAAAGGGACCCACAAAACAACTGTTATAATTAATAAATAAACATGGCAGAGACACAGAATACAAAAATCAATAGACACAAATCAATGGCGTCTCCATACACCGGCGACGAACAATCTGAAGAGGAAATTAAGACAGAAAAGAATAAAATACTTAGGAACAAATTTAATAAAAAGAAGGTGTAAGATGTGCTCGCTGAGAACTGTAAAACATTGCTGAAGGAAATTAAAGAATATCCAAATAAATGCAGACATTTCATATTCGGGGATTAGAAGAATCAATATTGTTAAAATGGCAATTCTCCCCGCATCGATCTGCGGAGGCGGCCCCGTCCTTATCAAAATCCCAGCAGGCTTTTTTCACAGAAATTGACAAGCTGATCTTAAAATTTATATGGAAATGGAAAGACCAAGAACGGCAAAAACAGTTTCGAAAAAGAAAGAAATGGGAAGGCTTCTATTTCCCGCTTCCGAAGTTTCTTTACAGCTTCGGTGATTGCAAGAGGGTTGTCCCGGCCTCGAAGTGGATGGCTCGACGGGGAGGGGAGAGTCGGGGCCGGGGTAAGCCGTCGCGGGAACGCCCAGCGGACTCCGGCCGAGGACGCCACGGCCGTTCTGTGGACGGGGAGCTTCCCAGCGTGGGGCCCGGGACTACTGAGCACCCACGTGCAGGAAGCTGAACGCAGCACACAGCGTTGGCTCGAGGAGGCTCCTGGACCTGGACGTGGTGCTGAGGCTCCCTCGCTCTTAGGGCGCAGCAGAAAAGCCTAGGTCAGCACAGGGTTCCCAGCTCCGACACCAGAAGCACCAGGTGTGACGGAAAACACTGACCAACTGGACTCCAACCAAATTAAAAACTTTTGCACAGGGGCCGGTGCTGTGGCACAGGGGGTGAAGCCACCGCCTGCAGTGCCCGCATCCCACATGGGCACCAGCTCAAGTCCTGGCTGCTCCACTTCCAATCCGGCTCTCTGCTGTGGCCTGGGGAAGCAGTAGAAGATGGCCCACGTCCTTGGGCCCCTGCACCACATGGGAGGCCCAGAGGAAGCTCCTGGCTCCTGGCTTCAGATCAGCGCAGCTCCGGCCGTTGCGGCCATCTGGGGAGTGAACCAGCGGATGGGAGAGCTCTCTCCGTCTTGACCGCTTTGTAACTCTGTCTTTCAAATAAATAAAATCTTCTAAAAACAAAAAAAACTTTTGTACTCCCCGACACTGTCAGGAGGGTAGACGTCAACCGAGAGAAAATATTTGCTAACCACGGTATCTGGTAAAAGGCTTGGATCGGGAAAAAGACAAACATCCGATTCAAAAGCCGGCTTTTGTCCACCAGAGAAGACAAACAGATGACTAATCCTCTCTTCGAGAGATGCTCCAGACCCTTGGCCATTAGGAGATGCAAATTAAAGCCAACACCAGAGACCACTTCGCCTGCCATGGTCGCTGCAGAGACACAGCGAGGGACGTCCGCGGGGACGTGGTCAGAGGGTCTCCCTGCGCCCGGCCCGAAGGGCTCAGCCGCTTTGGGAACTGGGTTTTGACATTGTCTCGAATAGGGAAACGCAAACTCAGGGAGGCCCTGATGGTCCCGTCCTTGCGGCCAGCGACGGGGAATGAGAACACACAAGCTCACGTGTGCCGGCCCCGGCATGACTGCTAACGGCCAGAGAGCAGCAGTGACCCAAGGCTTTGCCAGCCAGTGCCTGGGCTCCTGCCCACAGTAACAGCAGGGACGGAGGGCCCAGGCTCGCATGGACGGACCTCAGAGGGAAGCCAGGCACAGGCGACTGTGTCACCTTCCAGGGAAGGGACACAGACAGGGACAGAAGGTGAGTCGTGGCTGGGACCGGGGGCTGGCATCGGGGGGAAACATCTTATTGACATGATAAGAATGGTTCCAAAACCAGATTATGGCTGACGGCTGTAAAACTTAGCAAATTTATGGGAGATTATTGACTTGTCTACATAAAATGGGTGAATTTTTAATGACGCAATACAACCGTTAAAATTAAGTTTAATAGGGCCGGCGTTGCTGCCACTTTGTGATGCTGGCATCCTGTATCAGAGCTTTGGTTCGAGTCCCGGCTGCTCTATTTCCAATCCAGCTCCCTGCTGGTGCACCTGGGAAAGCAGTGGAAGGTGGCCCAAGTGCTTGGGCCCCTGCACCCACGTGAGAGACCTGGAAGAAGCTCCTGGCTTCGGCCTGCCCAGCCCTGGCTGTTGCAGCCCTTTGGGGAGGGAACCAGCAGTTGGAAGATTCTTTTTCTCCATGACTCTGCCTTTCAAATAATTTGAATAAATCTTTTAAAAAATATTTTATTTATTTGAGAGGCTGAGTTACAGATGACTGAAGGAGAGACAGAGAGGGAGAGAGAAAGGTCTTCCATATGCTGGTTCACTCCCCAAATGGCCACAATGGCCAGAGCTGGGCCAGGAGCTTCTTCCCCCGTAGGTGCAGGGGCCCAAGCACTTGGGCCACCCTCCACTGCTTTCCCAGGCCACAGCAGAGAGCTGGATTGGAAGACGAGCAGCTGGGACTCGAACTGGTGCCCATATGGGATGCTGGCGCTGCAGGTGGTGGCTTTATCCACTATGCCATAGCGCTGGCCCCATTAAGTAAATCATTAAAAAAAAAAGGAAGGAGAAAGGTCCTCACCCAGCTCAGGCCCTTGGACTTGGACTTCGCAGCTCCCAGCGCCTGGAGCCAACAGGAGCCTCCGGTGTGTAACTCACGTCGGCTGTGAGAGCAGCAGGGCTGGACGAGGGCGTCGACCGAGGCGCGCACTTCCTCTTCCGCAGCAGTGATGGCCACAGAGGCTTCTCCCACCCACCCGCCCTACCGCCCGCCCGCCTGCCCGCCTGCCTCAGCTTCCAATCTGTGCTTTCCAGGCCTCCACGGAACTAGTGAGCCCACTCGCCCCAGACACGGTTGGACTGTGCGGCTGCTGTTCCCGGGAGTGCAGGTGGGCCCTCGCCAAAGCCCCGCCCCGGCTGGACCTCCAACAGCGGGGGTGGTGAGAGGCGGTGCTGGTTCCACCTGCCTGTCTTGGGGTGCCTGCTCAGGAGCCGGGGTGAGCAGGCAGGACACGCAGCCGCTCTGAGGCTCCCTTGTCGGAGGGACCCCGGGGAGACACCCCACAGAGTGGAGTCCTGGGGGCACCAGCGGTGCAGCGCCAGTGACCCCGCCAGCAACGGCGAGCGAGCCTGGGGATGTGCAGCCCCAGTGCCGGCCTCCGCGGGCCAGGTCCGCCTAGGTGGAGGGTTCAGCCTCTTCTGAGCCTGGCACGACCTGTAATTAGCCCTACTCCAGGTCCTCGGCCTCTCTGCTCTCCAGCTGCAGGGGATGAGCGTCTCCAATTGATAGGGGGCCAAGGGGACCCTCTGGTTATCTTAATCAGCCTTTAATTGGTGATTAACCACCCTCAGCCTTTGATTGTCTCCCTCCAGCTGCCCCCATCAGCCGCCACAGCCCACATGGTGGCCTTGTTTTGCTCAAATACCTGAGCCTGGTGCGTTCCTAAGCATTCTTTCTGGCTGCTCTAATTACACCTGTCTCCCTGCCAAGCACCACCATGGCCCCGACCCCCGCCCCCACTCCCCCCCCCAGGGATGGAGTCCCCATGGCCAGCCGCCTGGTGGCCAAACCAGCTCCAAAATCCCATTTGGGAGGTTCTTGGCCCACTCCCGGTACCATCTGCTGCGGGCCAGGATCGCTGGCGTTTGGTCTCTGAGAGGAACATCTGCAGGCAGGAAGGAATGTCCTCGGACCCCCCTGTTGGGGCCCGGCCTGAGGGGGAGCCGCGGCAGAAGGGTCCCGCGCCGGCTCTGGGACCCAGACGGCCCATCCGCTGCCCCACGCTGGCTCAGCACTCTCGCGACCCCCACGCCTACTGGCTGTTCCACGTGGCCGTCCCCTGGTAAGGGGCATGACCTTGGCGAAGGCAGCTTCAGAGAGGACTCGGCAGACTCGGAAGCCAACGGCACACTCGGCAGACGGGGAAGAGGCTTCCGTTGTGAGGCAAGAGTGAACCCCAGCAGGTGTCGTGGCACAGTTGGCTACTCTGTGCTCCTGGTCTGGCTGCCTGCTAGTGCACCCGAGAGGCAGCACGTGGGAGACCCGCATGGCGCTCCGGGCTCCTGGCTTTGACCTGGCCCTGACCTGGCCCAGCCCCAGCTGCCCAGGCCATCTGGGAAGTGAACCATGCGGTAGAAGATCTCTCTCTCTCTCCTGTTTGTCTGTCACTCTGCATGTCAAATAAATAAGTACAAAGATCTTTTTAAAAAGGTAGAGAGATAGAGAAAGAGAGAGAGAGAGAGAGAGAGAGAGATCTTCCATCTCCTGGTTCATTCCCCAAATGGCTGCAACAGCTGGGGCTGGGCCAGGCCAAAGCCAGGAGCCCAGAGCTCCATCCAGTGGGTGCAGGAGCCCAAGAACTTGGGCCATCTTTCCCTGCTTTGCAGGTACAATAGCAGGGAGCTGGATCAGAAGAGGAGAAGGAAGAGCCTGCGCTGCGGCTCACTAGGCTAATCCTCCGCCTTGCGGTGCCGGCACACCGGGTTCTAGTCCCGGTTGGGGCGCCGGATTCTGTCCCGGTTGCCCCTCTTCCAGGCCAGCCCTCTGCTGTGGTCCGGGAAGGCAGTGGAGGATGGCCCAAGTGCTTGGGCCCTGCACCCGCATGGGAGACCAGGAGAAGCACCTGGCTCCTGCCTTCGGATCAGCGCAGTGCGCGGGCCGCAGCAGCCACTGGGGGGGTGAACCAACGGAAGGAAGACCTTTCTCTCTGTCTTTCTCTCACTGTCCACTCAGCCTGTCCAAAAAAAAAAAAAAAAAAAGAAAAAGAGGAGAAGGGGCTGGCGCTGTGGTGTAGCAGGTAAAGCCACCTCCTGCAGTGCCGGCATCCCATATGTGCACCAGTTCAAGTCCCAGCTGCTCCACTTCTGACCCAGCTCTGCTATGGCCTGAGAAAGCAGCAGAAGACGGCCCAAGTCCTTGGGCCCCTGCACCCGTGTGGGAGACCGGAAGAAGCTCCTGGCTCCTGGCTTCGGATCGGTGCTGCTCTGGCCATTGAGGCCAACTGGAGAGTGAACCAGCGGGTGGAAGACCTCCCTCTGCCTCTCCTCTCTGTGTGTAACTCTTTCACATACATAAATAAAGCTTTCACAAAAGAAGAAGAAGAGGAGGAGGAGGAGGAGGAGCAGCTGGGACTTGAACGGGAGCCCATATAGAACGCTCACCGCAGGCAGCAGCTTAACCCGCGGTGCCACAGCGCCAGCCGCAGCAAACGTCTCTCCCGCAGCGTGCCTCAGGGGCCTCCACAGCCACAATCCCTGTCTGCTCCTCTGGTGTTGGGTTCAAAGCCGAGCGTGGGCTCAGGGACAGAGAGGCAAGTTACCTTCGAGAACGGTCCTGGAAATCCTAAAGAGACGGTCGGGAGGTCACCCTCCTGCACCTCGATCTTACTTACTAATCCACTGGTTGATTTATAAGGCAGGGAGTCTTCTCTGGTCTGCTGGTTCACTCCCCAGATGCCCACGCTGGCTGAAGCTGGGCTCAGACCGGGTCTCCCATGTGGGTGACAGGGACTTATGTCCTTGAGCCAACACCTGCTCCCAGGTATTCACATCAGCAAGAAGCTGGCGTCGGGAGCAGAGCCAGGACTCGAACCCAGGCCCTCGGACATGGGACGCAGGCGTCTCGACCGCCGGGCCGACTCACCGCCCGGAAAGCCGCACGTGCCGTGCTCTGGAGTCGGCAGTGGTGAAGGCAGTGGCCTGATTCTGGTGCAAGGAGAAGAGAAACCTCCGGGCTCCACGTCTGGTGTACCTACGCAGAAGCAAACAGGGAGTTCTTTTTACACATAACACCGTACGCATCGCATTTATGATTCTACATGTATTCACGTGTGTATTAGCAACCACTTCTGGGCTCCTACCATGCAGCAGAGACTGTGCTATGAGCAGGCGCCCATCAGGATCATCCTAACGGAGCTGTGTTGTTGGGGTGCAGCCCCAGCCGGTCGCCTGGTGGATGGAGGCGGGGCCGGCAGGGGGTTACCGCGTGCTAGGGCGGTGACTGAGACGCCTGAGTCGACCCAGGGCCATCACCCTATTCCGGGTGCTGGGGAGTCCCTTTGCTGTCCTGGCCTTGGTTCCTCTCCCTTTGAAATGAGAGCTGCTTCTGTCTGGGGCCCCTCGGCCCTCACCCCCCACAGTGACCTGGGGGCTGTGCGGCTCTGCAGGACACACTTTCTGGTGGGCTGGGGAGCTCGTGCCCCTGGGACAGCCCCTCTGGTCCCCCACTGGGGGCCTCCTGGCTGGAGGGCGCAGCCCACTGTGCCCCAGGGGCTCATACAGCCTGTCCTGCTGACTCCTTCCCTTCCCTCCTGCCCTGCAGGGACCCACTGGAACTGCCTCCCGGATGAACCAGTGGGTCCCTGCTCAAGGCCAGGTGGGGGGTTCTCTGGTCCCTGTGACCCGAGGACTCTCTCATGCTGGTGGCAGGAAGCTGACCCTAATGTCTTCCGTCCAGAGAAGGGGCATTGGCTGAGTTGTGTCCAGCAGGCCTCTCTCTGCCCATCCCTCCCTTTCTGGCTCATTCTCAGAACTCCCCAACTTTTTTTTTTTTTTTTTTGACAGGCAGAGTGGACAGTGAGAGAGAGAGACAGAGAGAAAGGTCTTCCTTTTGCCGTTGGTTCACCCTCCAATGGCCGCCGCGGCCGGCGCACTGCGGCCGGCGCACCGCGCTGATCCGATGGCAGGAGCCAGGTACTTATCCTGGTCTCCCATGTGGGTGCAGGGCCCAAGCACCTGGGCCATCCTCCACTGCACTCCCTGGCCACAGCAGAGAGCTGGACTGGAAGAGGGGCAACCGGGACAGAATCCGGTGCCCCGACCGGGACTAGAACCCGGTGTGCCGGCGCCGCTAGGCGGAGGATTAGCCTAGTGAGCAGCGGCGCTGGCCAGAACTCCCCAACTTCTTGTCCCTCAGCAACTCTGGGGCCAGCTTTGAGCCCACATGGGAGAAGGCTGGGACAGTGACGTGTGTCCTGGCGTGGGTAGTGCTGGCTTCTTCGCTCAGAACCTTTGATGCTAAGTAGCCCTGAGGAGGGCATCCTGGTGGGCTTACGCCCGGACCTCCCTGGGCTCTGCCCCCTGGACCTGCCGGGCACAGGGTGGGGCAGGGGGCTGCTGCCAGGGACGGGGACGGGTGCAGCTGAGTGTGCAGAACTGTCTCCAGGGAGCCCCGCTTCCACTCCTTGTGCCTCCAGCAAATCGGCAGCCAGCCGGTCGAGACACCCAAAGACACGAGGTCTCCCTGGAGCAGACAGGACAAACCCGGCCGCTGCCTGGGCCGTCCTTTCTCGGAGCCTTGGTTCCCCCAGCTGCCACACGGGCAGGGACAGAACAAGGGTCAGACTGTTGATTGTGTGCTGGGCGCCAGAGCAGGTGCTCAAGCCCCCCCCCCCCCCTTAATCGTAGCTGTCTGGTGTCTGAGCAGAACAGGCACACAGTGTACGTGATGTTTCTAGACGCGTCGCCCGAGGCCTCTCTGCTGGGACGTGCGCTCACTCCCTGCCTGGTGCACGGGCCAGCACCGAGGTGTGGATCTGCTAAGTGTCTGCCCCAGGCTGTGGCCCTGCTAATGACGCTCCTGCTACCGCTCCGGTGGGGGGGGATGGGCCTCCCCCGTCCCCCAGCCCCTCTCCCCCGCCGGCCAGGCTCCCCAACGAGAATCCCAGCAGGGGAGGAGAATGAAGCAGGGTGCCGTGCGGCTCTGTGGAGAGCCGGGCCCCCTCGCCCAGACACCCTCGAGATCCAGGGAGAGGCAGACATTAGTGAAATGGGGCATAATTTGAGGAAATTAGACCTCATTTGTCCAAGACCGAGCTTAGCTTTTAATTAAGTGGCGCAATCTTTCTTGCCGGGGTAAGAATCACTTGAGCCCTTAATTTTCTGAAGTATCCCTGGAAGGGTGATGTCGAAGGTTCGGGGTGCTCACGGGGCGCCTCGCTGTAATCACTCAGGGCTGGGCTCGCCAGGACACGCGGCAGGCGTGCTGCGGAGTTCCCACACGGCCCAGAACCTCTGTCCTGGCCCAGATTCTCCCGTGAGAGGGCACTTGCTTCCTCTCCTCCTGGCGCCTTTCGGGGGAGCTCAGGTAGTCCCGGAGGGGAGAGGGGTCCCTCGGAGACCCCCGTGGCACCCGCCTCATGGTGCAGCTGCTTCTCTGCTCCCTGAGAAGGAAGGGGCCAGGTGAGGGTTCAGCAGGCAGAAAGGGAAGAACATTTGAGAAGTTCCCCAGGAAAGCCTCCCTGGGAGGCTCACTCAGGTAGCACACAAGTTCCGTGTGACGTGGGAGCCTTTGTCAGGAGGCGGGGACCACGAAGCTGCCCTGCACGGCCACCTCCGGGGAAGAGCAGTCGGTGGCAGCCGTGGGGGTGGCAGGGTGGGGCCGGTGCGTGCAGCACTCCCCAGGGCAGGGAGGGGCCCTGGCCGCGGTGGGGGCGGACCCTTTGTCTCCTCCACGGGAGAAGTGGACGGGAGGTCGCAGTGACCCCCAACCTGCACTTTTAGCTCCCATCACCACAGCTCAGTCCCTGCCTGGGGAGGGAACTCACCCGAGGTGGAACCTCATGTGGGCGGTAGAATGCCAGTGCTGGGTGATAGACAGGCGTCCATGGTTGGGGGGGCGGGGGACAAGGTCCTGATGGAACACAGAAGCCACGCGGGTTCACAAGCTGTGCGTGTGCGTGTGCGTGTGCCCGGAGGTGGGCGGCAGCAGGCGCTGTGACACACAACACGGGATATGGATCCCAGTGTCCAGAGCAGCTGGGGCCACACAGTGGGCAGGAGGGACCCCTGGAAAAGGAGCGGAGAAGGCGTTGGCAGCCCCTCCGACCCCACCCTCCTGCCGGTGCCCTCTACCCTGCCCGAGGCTGCTCCTTCCCTCTGGTGTCCAGCTCTCCAGGGCTGCACGGCTCCGTGTGGGACCTGACCCATCCCACGCCTCGGGGGGCAAGACGGACACTCGGGGTGGGGGCAGTGGGAAGGAGAGAGGAGCAAGGCAGGGCCTGGCTCCACGGTGCGCACAGAGGGTGTCCTGGTGAGCGAGGAAGCCGCTCGGGGGCCGCAGCTGAGCAGGCCCTGGGTCTGGGTCCTGGCTGCCCGCGATGCCCCTCACCCCCCATCTGTCAATCTTCTTTGAAAGGCCCTGGGATTAGATTAGCTGTTCAAGCCCAGTGGGCTGAGCTGTGTGCTGGGGCCCCCAGGGCACAGCAGACTGGCCAGCCCCTGCGCCAAGGCCATCTGGGCCCACTTAGGCCTGTGGCTGGGGGGCCAGGGGCGGCTGCCCGTGGGGGGCTGGGGTGTCCCGCTTGTGCCGGCCGGGCCTCCACACGATGGCAGCATGCTCGCACTGAAGCCCGCTGGGCTGCGGCTGGGCCGGGACCCAGCACCGCCCTGGGCTCCCCGGCCCTGCTGCCCGCTTTGGGAGGCGACGGCTGCCGAACGGTTCCTGGGGCTGTCGGGGCCCCAGGGCTTTCCTGTGGAGTCCCTGCAGAGGGAGGGCCATCCCAAGGTGCCAGGGGCAGGGTGCTGGGACTGGGGGGGCTCTCAGGCGCCCCATCTGGCCCGGGATCCTGTCCACACCGCCCCGAGCCTCCCCCGGTCCTGGCTGGCCCGAGAGTCCTTCTCGTGGGCTCTGACTGGGACTGCCTGAAGTGCAAGTGTCACTGTGAGAGAAGCGGGTGGGAGATGCCGCAGCCCCTGCGGGCCCAGCCCACCTGCAGGTCTGCTGCGAAGCAGCCTGGGGGCCAAGAACTGAGCCTCCCCCGTGGAGATGGCAAAGGTGGAGTGCAGCCGGCCGGCCCCCCTCGGCGTCCAGGAGCCCAGCCCTTGGCAGGCGGCGCCTGTCCTGCTCTGCCCTGCACCCCACTTCCTACCCCTCTCCCCTCCCACCCCGCAGCCAGCGTCTGCTCCTGGTGCCCCCCACGCTTGCCCCACCACTTCTCCTCCACAGCAGTGAGCTCCACCGTACCAGAGGGACCCAGCACCCGGGCAGGGCCCGGCCCGCCCCCACCGGAGCTGCTCCGCAGAGCAGGAAGTGCGGTGGGCTCCAGCAACAGGAAGGTGGGGACCCCCAGGCTGGCGCCATCCCTGTAGCCACCGCAGAACCCTCAGCCGGGCAATTCTGACTTGGGGACATTGGGGGATTTTGTCCTCAGGGTGGGTGATGGGGACCTTCGTGAGGAGGAGACGCTGCCCAACGCCCCAAAGGCACAGGCCGGGGCGGGCTCGGCCAGGGCTCCCCAGAGGTGCCAGGCGGCCTTGTGAGGGGCCTTTCTCGGGCCTGGACTCTTCCTCTGTGGGGCTCAGACTAAAGAGCTGATCTTCCCCCTCCCCCAGAGGGCTTTCAGTGCACAGCAGGGTCCCCCCGAAGCTCCCTGGCCTCAGTCTCCCTCTCTAGAGAAGGGGGTGGCCCTGCGTGCCATTGTGGGTGTTGGTGTGGGTGGGGACCCCGCGCCAGGCTCAGCCACAGGGACGCTGACGTCAGCCCCAGCCCTGGACACGCGTGCTCTGCTGGGGAGCGCGTCCCCGGGCCCCGCCCTCCTTGCTGGCACGGCCTGGGGCCGCCGTGTCCCCAAGCAGGCCTTCCATACATCAGGGCTATTTTAGGGAGCCCCTGGCAGGCGGGAGGAGGGCGAGGGGTTCTCTGGGATCTGGTTACAGCCATGTGTGGGGACAGCCGTCGCCGCCGTTTCTGTCCCGTGACCTAAGAGGAGCGGCAGACCCCTTGTGACCTGCGAGCTATGTCCTCGCAGGGGCCCTGGCAGGCGGCAGCTGGTGCCACAAGACGTGTGCTCTTTTGGGAACGGCTCAGTAAGCCCCCTTGAGCTGGGTGTGGCAGCCAAAAAAGGACACACTGAGAGCCACAGGAGCCCGGGCTTGGGGCACGCGGGCACAGGGCCAGGGCTGTATGGCCTGGCCCTCGGGGGTTCTGGGCAGAGGGCTCGCCTGGGGGCACCCCCCTCTGCTTTTGCTTGATGGAAGCAGACAGGAGGGAGCCTTCTGTCCCCTGGTGGGCTCTGCAAGGGGCCACAGGGGACAGCGTGAGTGTGCGTGCAGGGGGTGGGGGTTAGGGCCCGTGCTCCCTGCACCCCTGCTGGCTGTCTTTGCCTCGCCCATTGCTCTCCTTCCACACCCGAGGGCTCCCCTTTCTTGCCCCCTGGTCAAGACAGGTTCCCAAGGCTTGCTGCCCGCGGCGGCCCAGCTCCAGCAGCCTTGGGCTGGCCAAGCTGCCTGGGGCAGGGCTGGTGGCTGGGTGTCCCTCCCACGCTCAGGACACTGAGCTGCTCATGCAGCCCTGGGTGCAGGCAGGGCGGGGGCACTGGGCCTGGCCGAAGCGTGTGGTATTTAAGGCCCCCATGGCTGCCCTGGGGGCTCCTTCCCCACTCAGGGTCCTTCCACCCCGGGCAGTTTTCCTGGGCTTTTCCTGAATGGCCCCCGTGCGGCCAGAGTGTGGGGAGGAGCGGGACGTGGGACTCGGGGTCTCTTCCCCACCCCGGAGTTGCGGGCGATTAGGGGAGCATGGGGCTGCTGTTGCCCCCCCCCCCCCGACCTGCACGCACATCTGAGGGTGCTTTCCTCTGCTTTCATGTGGGTCACAGATCAGACCTGGAGCGGATCTGCAGTGGGGAGAGCAACATTCCTTATGCCTTAATTTGCTCCACGCGACGCGAGCCAAGGAGGCCATGGCTGAGTCTTTCCACCCTGCCCCCGGGAAGTGAGCGGCGGGTGAGTTCAGCCCCGTGCAGAACGCGGGCCCCTGCAATGGCCCGACTGGGCACATAAAAAAAGATCCTGACATTCTCTGTGTCCTCTTGCCTCGTCCCAAAGTAGCATCTCCCAGCGGGCAGTATTGCCTTGTATGGCAGGTGCCGGGCACGGGTCGGATCACGGAGCAGGGGCCAGGCAGGCAGAAACGGCAGCGGGGATTAACTGCGGCTCGCCGAGCGTTTGGGAGTGGGGAGGAAAGGGGCGCGGGCGCCGAGGGTGGGAGAGGTGTTGGTGTGTTTTTCGAATGCCAGGACTATAATTAAGGGGTGAGAAGATTCATGCTAACCCGTAACCACGGCTGCAAGAGAACTCATGAAACCCAATAGCCTCGGGAGCCCGGATTTGGAACCGCATGTGGCACCTGCTGCGGAGCCTATTTCGGGGCTCGGCACATTCGTCACGGGGCACCCGGCCCTGACAGCGTCAGGTGGTGTGCGGCATCTCGCGGTGCCCACACGAGCTCTCCAGCCACCTGTTCCAGGGCTACCTCAAAAGACTGAGAGGGACTTTTCAGACAGCCCTGTGCGCATGTGTATGAGAGGGTGGGGGGGGGTCTCCTCTGGGCAGAGGGCTTCCCAAGGGCATGGCC